ATTCTCTCCCCCATCCCACCGGGGGGGAGTGAGCGAGCAGCTGTGTGGGGCTTAGTTGCCAGCTGGGGTTAAACCACGACAGTGGCACAGCTATAACTTTTAATGTATTTTTCCAAAGCACTTCTGCTAAGACATAATGCTTATATTCCACTGAGGCCAAACTCCATTTAGAGGGCCATGTAAAAGGTCCCTCCAGGTGGCCAGGCAGTGCCTTGGCAAAGAGAAATCCTTATCCTTGGCTCCATCCCCCTTACCACAGGACCTATATTGCACAGAGGCGTAGAAAAAAATGCTTTCTCAGCTGACCTGCTGATGAGAATTATCCAAGTCAGAGATAACTGGGTTGCCTGGTGATTGTATTGCCCTGTCAGCACAACTCTACATCTCTTGACATCTCTGCCCGCCTCTCTTCTCGCATGACTCCTCATCCCCGTCGGGGAATATCAAGCACAAAGTAACCCTTCTTGCCACATGCATGCACACACACTCACTCCTGCTTATCGCCAGTGTCTTCTCCAAGGGATGCTGCTGTAGTGGTCTGTGTGTCCACCTCTGGTCCCACAATTGTCTCTGCACCGGCAAACCTTTATGTCTGTGCAGAATCCTACTGAGAGGAGGTGGTCTCCCTGCAGGTCCCAGCACCTGCCAGCTCACATCGTGCTGCACCAGTGGAACCCGGCACCAAAAACAGACACCAAAACCTGTCATGAAGGAGCCTGGATTTTTGGGTGGGGGGATTCTGAACAAACTTTCCTCTACAACTGACAGAGGACAGAATCCTTATGCACTAAAGAAACAACAAAAAAGGGAGTACTTTCAAAATTTACAGGGAATTTGTAATAGCTAATCTGGATCACTCTTTCACATCTTTGCATTCTGTACAGCAGAATATATATATAATATATACACATACACACACACTTACAGAGGTCTGAAACTATTCCCACAAGATGGTGATTAGACACTGAGCTCTCATTTGTCTGAATATTATTTGTTGAAAGGCTCCACGGCAGATTCCCAGCTGGTGCAGCAGAACAGATAAAATGACAGTACTTCTGCAGGGCTACATCAAACCAAGCTGCTAGAGGATTTATGCCATTATAACCCCAAAGCAATGAAGCGAATAGGAACTGGGCCTCGGTGACTCCCGTGTTGTAATTCTAAGGCAGACACTCATATATTTTTGGACAGAGCTCTTGAAATTATTATTTGTTTTTAAATGAGTGCAAAATAACTTACAGAAATATTTCTGTTGTTATGTATGTGCAAGATCTGCGTGCTCTGATACTCTGATTGACCAGAGCTTAGTTTTCATTTGGCCGAGGAGCCTGTGTGTTGTCAGTGAAAGCCCTGAATGCAAACCCTACTCTGCAGTTCATTACCCGACTCCACTGGTGCTCTTGAAATCAGAGAGATGGCTCCTGCGAGTGATCTTGTGCTGGTTCATGTGCAAGGAACAGTGTCCAACAGCTGAAGAAAGTGAAACTGAACACCTCCTGGACAGATAAGGTCGATAAATAAAGTCTGAGGTGATAAATCCTGGTTTATATTTATCACTAGCACAGGCAAAATACTCAGAGGAGATCTTGTATTGTCGGTGTGCTTTTACCCTGCCCATGGGAAAACACAGGAATGAGAAAATGGGGCAGTCCCTGTTAGCTCCCAACTCAGAGGCTGTGCATATTTAATAGTTAACATTTATAAAGCATTTTGCAAATGAAAATTAAAATGAAGAGCCATATCTCATTATTGTATTACTACATTTTTCTTCTGAGAGACAAGCTTTCTCTGTTTTAGCCACATTAGAGATAAGCAGCTCCTAGCTAATGTAAGTAGTTATATTTGTCCTCTCTTTAATCCTTTATCAGCAAAAGCCATTGCTTTTGGCCAAGCCACCTCTGGAATGTTTCCTTTCGCTAGCGAACGCAAGTCCCCCGCATTGAACAAGTTCAGGCAAGGTAAAAATCACATCAAATTTGCTTTGCTTTGCACACTTTTCTTTTTTTTCTTAATTGTTTATTTTCTTGGACCATTTAAAAGCCTTTTGTTTTGGCCCTACAGTTATTTTTCTCATGAAAAGAAGTATTTGTTTCCTTCTCCTGTTGACATCACTTCTCTTTCTCTCTCTTTTTATTTTAACAAGAGCCTTTTGACCAAGAAGTTTCAAACCAGCTTGTCACTTCCCACTTCTGGAACTGCAGGGCAGTTTCCAGTGGACACGATCTGGCTTCATGGCTAGAAGCCCCCACGATGCTCCTCACCTTGCCTGGCCCAGCACATCCCACTTTGCTTTTTGTTACTGGGTCAATCTTCTCTTGAGCAATTTCTTGGCGAAGCGCAGCCTCTGTAACATCACTCACCGCTCGAACCTCATTGCCAGGGAAATGCTGTCTGGAGCTTGGGCTTTGCTTTACAGCTTGTGCTGACACACTCGTGGGCTGGAGGAGGCCATGAAATCATTCACCCTCACCATCTGTTTAACAGGCCACATCGCTTCATCACCGCCGCCAAAACAAGAACCCTGGCGTGCTGTGCAGTGCGCCAGCAGCTCTTTACCCTCTATGTTCAACCGTGCAGACCGGAGCATATCTCGAGGGCCACTGGAGCAGGGGGTCAACGTGTGCTTCCAGCCTGCAGGGCAGAGCGCGGTGCTGGACCCAGTTTGGAGCAGGGGGGCACTGGGAGTCGAAGCCCCGGTCTGGTGCCATTTTAAGGCTGACAGACAGAGGGAAAAGAGCCATACTTTCAAAGGTTTCTCTAACATGTGGCTTCCTTGGGACTGCTGATCAAGAAATATCACGTCTGGGGAAGTCATGGCTCTTTTTTTCCAGCCTGACATCCAGTTCTTCTTTTTTTAAATGTATATTAAAAAATAAGTTTTCTTTGCCATCTTATTGTTGAGATTACTAACAACAATCTCAGGTTCTCCGAAGGCTGCTGCCTACCTATCACACTGCAGTAGGTTCGAAGAAGGGAGCCGGGTTTCTCTCCAGCCTGGAGAACAACAGAAGCTTGTGTTGTACAAGTGGCAGGCGGCTACAAATCACCCCCCATTCACACCTTCCCTGTGAACGGGGCTGTGTGCGCATATGGAGAGCAGAACACAATCCCTCTTCTCTGCCTGCTTCATGCTACCAAATATCTGCTCCTTTTACAACAATGAAGAGGTGGAACATATTGGCTGCTGCACAGCTCATGTGCTAATTAAAACAACTCTTTCCGTTACTGTTTTTTCACGGGAAGTTAAATGGCATTAGGAGAGCGTGCTGAATTAATTCCTTTGAATCCCAAGCCCTATTATATATGGGAAAAGGCACTTAAATGAAATTTGGGGATATTGCTTTCCTGTCAGACTTGAAGAAAACCCGTTGTGGAAAAAAGAAAATCACCGTTAACCAGCATGGGACTAAAGATTTTAAAGCACATATCCAAGATCTTGATGATACCCCAAGAAGAACACAACCTGGTTCTGCGGTAAGCTGTGCCCGACCTCACCGACATTGCTTCTGTTCTACTTCCATCCACTTGTGCTGAATTTGAGGGGAGTCAGAGTGTCAGGAGCTGCATCCAGCACCAAACAGTATGAGACTGCCGGCCCTTATTTTTGACCTACTTTTGAACTTTTTCATCAGAGAGAACACATCTCTTAACCTACGCATCTGCATAACCACTAGTACCAGAACTAATCAATTTTCACAAGAAACTTGAAAAGAGGAGAACAGAGATGCTCTTCTCTACAGTCTGGGGTGACCCAGGAACCAAACCGGACCAGTTTTTCTATTGATTTCTGAAATCGGAAGGAAGATACTTTAAGAAAAGGACACAGACATTGTGAACCCATGAGATCTATAAT